CGCAGCCCCCAGCGCCAGGGCCCCGGAGGTCTGAGGGTCCATGCCCGGCGGCCCGCGGCTCCGCGCCCTCTATTTTTAATTAGATTACCATTAGTGTAATTTGGGCAATTCTAAGCAATGTGTAGGGTTTTTTCATTTAATCAAAAGTGCATATATTTTTTACATTTAACATTATTTTGTATTAGTTTCATGTATACAGTATAGTGGTTAGATAAACCATACACTTAAAAAAAATTGATTTGAGAGAGAGAGAAAGGGAGAGAGAGATTTATTGTTCCACTTATTTATGCATTCATTGGTTGCTTCTTGTATGTGCCCTAATTAGGGATCGAACCTGCAACCTTGGCATATCGGGACGACACTCTAACCAACTGAGCTACCCGGCCAGGACAAAAATTGTATACGTTATGATGTGTTCTCCTGATATTTCCAGTACCCACTTGGCACCATGGATAGTACAGTATTATTGACTATATTCCCTATGCTGTACTTTACATCCCCACGAGTATTCTGTAACTACACCTTCACCTTTTTCACCCCGTCCCCCAACACTCCCTCCGCTCTGGCACCATCAGTTTGTTCTCTGTACCTATGAGTAAGTTTCTGTTTTGTTTGATTCAGTGGTTCTCAACCTTTTGGCCCTTTAAATACAGTTCCTCATGTTGTGACCCAACCATAAAATTATTTTCGTTGCTACTTCATAACCGTAATGTTGCTACTGTTATGAATCGTAATGTAAATATCTGATATGCAGGATGGTCTTAGGCGACCCCTGTGAAAGGGTTGTTTGACCGCCAAAGGGGTTGCGACCCACAGGTTGAGAACCGCTAGTTTATATTCTTTATATTGGCCTAGTAATATATGTACCACAGCCTTTAAAAAAAATTATTGGGGTGACATTGGTTCACAAAACCATACAGGTTTCAAGTGTACAACTCAACATTGGGTGTCCATTACCTAAAGCGAAGTCTCTTTCCATCACCATTAATACCCCCATTGCCCACCTCCACCTAACCCACCCCCCTATCCCTCTGGCTATCACAGCACTGTCTTTGTGTTGATGTGTGAGATGTGTGTGTGTGTGAGATGTGTGTGTGTGTGTGTGTGTGTTTTGCTTAATGCCTTCACCTTTCATCAGCTGTCGGTCTATTCCCTGTATCCATGCCTCTGTTTTTATTTTGTTCATTAGGTTCCACATATAAGTGAGATGATGTGGTATTTGTCTTTCTCTGACTGGCTTATTTCACTCAGCATAATAATCTTTAGGTCCATCCATGCTGTCGCTCGAAAAGTAAGATTTCCTTCTGTTTTACGGCTAAGTAGTATTTCATTGTGTAAATGTACCCCAGCTTTTTAAATCCACTCATCTACTAATGGGCATTTGGGCTGTTTCCAGGTCTTGGCTGTTGTAAATAATGCTGCAAGGACCACAGAGGGTGCATATATTCCTTCAAATTAGTGTCTCAGGTTTCTTAGGATATATTCCTAGAAGTGTGATCACCAGGTCAAAAGGCAGTTCCGTTTTTAATTTTTTGAGAAACCTTCATACTGTTTTCCACAGTGGCTGCACCAGTCTGCATTCCTACCAACAGTGCATGAGGGTTCCCTTTTCTCCATATCCTTGCCAACACTTGTTATTTGTTGATTTATTGATGGTAGCCATTCTGATAGGTGTGAGGTGATATCTCATTGAGGTTTTAATTTGCATTTCTCTGATGATTATCGACATTGAGCATCTTTTCATGTCTATTGACCATCTGTATGTCTTCTTTGGAGAAGCGTCCATTCAGGTCTTTGCTCATTTTTAATTGGATCGTTTGTTTTCTTGGTGCTGAGCTGTATGAGTTCTTTATAACTTTTGGACATTAACCCCTTATCAGATGTATCACTGGGGCTGTGTTCTCCATTCAGCAAGTGTCTTTTCATTTTGTTGATGATTTCCCTTGCTGTGCAAAAACTTCTTAGTAAAAGCATCCTTTGTACATTAGAATTAAGGTCACCATTGCTATACTTCAGCTATTTAAATCAAGAGATGTGTTCTTTGGTTTCATTCCTAAACAATATCAGAAAATTAGGTAAATTACTGTTTGGAGCATGAATCTCCCAAAAGCCACATGTCGAGTAACACTTCCTCATCAATAGATTTCCGGGAGTATCTGATTAACAGTAATCAACAAGGATCTACATAAGTATCTAAGGAATTAAGGGAACTAAGGTGGGGATGCTTCAACTATTATTACCTAAATT